GACTGCTGATTGAACCCACCAATCATTAAGCTGTAAACTGAACCAATCATATTGAAGAACGGCAACAAAAAAACCAACAAAATACCCTTGCCAAGTTACACATAGCTCATTGCTTTCTGCTGTGGTATGTTTTTCTGTGTGTACATCGTATATATTAGGATTGGACTTTCGTTAATTGCATGAGTGTGGCTTTGTACCTACATTTAACTTCATTTCTTGATTGTATTATTTTTAGGTTGCCATAGCAATAATATATTAATGAAGTAATTATTTCATTAATGCGCTCAAAATACCTTGTAGCGAACGAATACGTCGAGTTTGACACATACATGAAGAAATAGATCACCTGGGTAGCCTTTTACTTGTGAAACGCTGGGCATATTTGATTAATAGCGTTTTATGGCCGAAATTTCGCTATTATAATATGGGAAAGCCATGATACAGCAACATATCTCGATAGGAATAGGACAAGCCGTACGTTCGGGGCAAGGCGCTGCTCTACACGTGTGTCCCCCACCCCCCTTGCCGTTACCCCTCCCAGTAACATTAACATGAAGGCGAGTCAGCTCTCATATCAAATTGCTTATAAAAATCTAGTTTTTCCTCTTCTTTCAAAAAGTGGATAATTGATAAATAAGGCAAAATGTCAGTAAAAAGGGCTGAACAAGGTTCTTTACAAAGACCTGTTTGGAGTAAGAGGTGGTAACGAAATATATGTTAAATACCCGTGAGGATTGGGGTGCTGTCGGCAACTGTTGACGGGGGCCCTGGAGACGATGATTGCCTTAGTCGTTTTCATCAATCTGAATCAGGATCTTTTGATATGTCTTCCTAGTAGCTACTCAACGGTCGTTTGGGCAGTTGTTTGGAAGTCCCTTTTCTGAAATAAATAGTCTAAGTGCTAAATTACTGAAGATCGCCGCCATATTTTTGACATGAGTCGAAGATTCTATGAACATTGAAACATTGTTTTCCCGGAAGAAATTTGAACAAGGATCTTCGCCTTGTTCAGATTCTATGAACGGTAAATTGCATACTAGATTAGCGATCTTGTAAATTGTGATTTAACTGATATTCAACATGTAATACCTAAAAACAAACAGAATAATAAAATATTGGCTATGGGTTTGATTGTGTCATAATTAAGATGTGTGTTTCGTTTTACGTTATACGCTGGACTGAAAGACTAATAATAAAAAACGGTGTTAATGAAATTTGAAAGTGTATAATATGACAGCTAATGCAACTGTGGAAAGCCCAGCAAATTAAATGCATTTTGAACCCCAAGAAACAAAATCGAGACACATCTTCTGGAAAAGGCTTATTATAGGGAGTTTGGTTTTTCATCACACACTACCTTTGAATGTATTCTAATATATTAATTGATCTACTCGGAAGGCCACTTACAATACGGATGCTCGATTTTCATAGCGAACCTCATGATGCACAACTACGAAAATTTCCCTTAAGGTAAAGAATGTCAGCAACTAGAAGAAACAAATAAGGATCATCGGCGTCTACGACACCAGCTAGCTAGAAGTGACAGTCTAAATAACAAATAAATCACTGCCTCCGTACTTGTCTTCATTCATTTTATTCTTACTTTTTGCTTACTTTTTGCATGCCTGTACGAACTGATTTCAGGCGGAAGCCCGTGTAATAGCCACGTCTGAAACGAAGGATCTTCGATTGGTATGCCGAAGGACGTCAACCGTGTTCAATATCTAAGACGGTCCAAATCCGCGCCACCTCGGTGTAGCTCATGTTTCAACGAGCCAAGGTTTCTATTTTTCCATCACTCTAATTTCCCCTTAGGCCGTCTATTTTGCATCAGGTTCGCGATTCTGCCATGACCTTCTTTGGCTTGAATATTGACAAAAGCCAAGAGGATTGGAATTCTCGGCGTCTCAGGTACTTATTGAAAAAGTACGGCAGTATAAAACCAGCAAAACTGGTTTCGGTGAGTGTTGTCCTAGCTTTACACTTTAATATTCAATCTTTTTGTTTCCCTTACAAACCAATTGTCTATTTGGCCGGGTTAATTGGACCATGATCACTGTCGTTTTCTACCAAAACCAAGTCTAAACTACTTATTGATATTCAGCTAGTCAAACTGATACCCAGGCTTAGATTGCCGGGGTGGTCAGCTTATTGGTTTGAGCCATTGAACTCCTGTAGGAACCATCTTGAGATAATGGCTTGTGTCCACAAAATACGTGACTGCGTTAGATAGGTAGCGTAGTACAAAACTGTATTTTTCGTCAATTTCTTGGCAAGTAGGTCCAATGAACACCAAGATGACCATTGTGGATCAGAATATATACTTGAATAGAACAATAAGGACACGTCGCCAACATTCACAGTTACATAAGAAATTTCGTAAACCCAGCAAAGTGTAATTTTTACGAAACGTGTCCAACGCCAATGAGTGAAATTATGGTGTCATAACACATTATATTCAAGTGATGGATTCAGCACTTTCTTGGGTTAATAGGTGATCATCTCGCCTATTGTTGCGACTATATCTAGGTAACCGCGCCACCTGGGGGTCGCCCTGAGGAGCTACCGGCATATTTACTAGCCACTAGATCAAAATAACACTACAATATACTGGTTGGTGTCCGTCATTCACCGTCATAACCGTCTCATGTATGGGTTTCAATGAACTAAAGTTTCTTAAGGAAACACCTTTAAAAATAATCGAGTAGGCTGCTGGCAGACTACTCTAATATATTTGTGATATGTTGACAAGGCAGATCGTCCAATGCCAGGATGTCTGCTTGGACACATCTGCCCCTGGCCTAGTGGTTCGGGTGACAATATAAATTACTAACTTATTTTACAGAGGCCTACCTCTCTCTTGTTGACACTGCTCACTACGTGTAGTTGCACGATTTTTGTGTTCTTATCATTGAAATTGATCTCAGAAATTGAAAGTTATTTCTGTCCCTGTAGATCTTTCAACGATCATCCCATGCCCTCTCATCCTTCCTTTTCCCTTTGGATAGCTTGTAATTTACTTTGTTACCCCAAGCACTTCTATCCACGGAGGTGTCACATCCATGTCTAAATTGTTCTGTATCGTCTTTCCTCTTGATCTACTCGAATTTACCCTAGATTTCATAACGATGCTCTAATTTTAATTGACTGTCAACGCCATGATGGTTGCGCCGTCGTCTTTACTATTATGCTATTTTAATTTTTTAGCCTTTTGGTCCTGAACCCGTGGACAATTACCTTGAAGGAGTTCCAAATAGGCGAAATACACTAGGAAGGCAGGTTTGTTTCCCCTTTTGATGTCCATATTCTCCAAACTTGCTTCAAAGCTTGCTACCAGTCCTATAATCTTATGTGTCAATCGAAGAAGAATTTCGTATCACCTTAGCCGTTATTTTTTGACAGCTACAATCTAAAATTCGTCTTCATATCCAAGTTGGCGGATCCGAGGTCTGAGTCCCAATTAGTCTTTCAGCCATTCCCTGTCTAACGGAAGCACAATTTGTCCGTCACCCGTCAGCATTCCGTCTCGCAGTACGGTAGATCGGCGAAGGTAATTCCCTTGTGACTGAACAATTAGAGTCCCCTAATCATAACTCTCCAGACAGCGGAGTTCAAAGGCTACCTCGATGATGAAGGAGTTTTCTTAAGTTAAGTGATTGAGCAAAAGGTTTTATTTAGACTCGAACCTTCAGGCCAAATTTTAAAAGATTTGTCGCCACTCAATAGTTCAACTTATGTATAGGGCTAAGGAGGGCCTGTTGGTCATCTACCTAATCTCAACCTCTCACTTGGCTTCAAATGCTGCTCTGCCAACCTTGCAATTTCGTGTTGCCCTGAGGTTTTCTCAAGTTTTTTCAAATCACAAGGCTTGGGCGATTTTTTCACTGGTTTTTCCCGCCATCCCGCAGTAGCATGAGTAGTGGTGTAGCAAGGTTCTCTGTATAACATACAGGCAGAAACAACTATTGGCGTTATCGAAACCTGTGTGAACAGGTTCTTCTCATTTCAGTTGGGGTTGTACTTGGGTATTTTTTTTTAAGGCAAAAGGTGCTCCTACCAGGTTTCTAGTGGAAATCTGGCCTATCGTTACTTTCCCTTCACTTGGGTACTTAACAATCAGTGAAACTAGGGTACTTCTTCCTATCATTTATCCTGTTTTTTTCCATTCTCATCGCACAGTTGAGCTTGATGACCCAATTGGGTACCCCGGCCCCTTTATCGCCATGTGTAGTTACTCGCCGAAATAGCGCCTTCAAGGCTCTCAGTACGGTGGTACGCCAGTCTGTTACCCGGCGCAAACAACGTATATACGTCAGTCCAGTAAGTTCACAAGTGTGCTTTGATGAAACCATGTCACGTACTGAGTTTTTCCTTGTTTGCATATGCTACAACTGCTAGGATTGTATAGGGCGCTGGGAGGGGGGAGGGAGATGGGGTAGTTTCTTTGATGTTTGCATGAGACGATCATTCCTGTCTGATCTCGCGCGATACCCAGTCCTCTACGCAGCTGACCAACAAAGACGTGGGGAAATCGCTGTGAGGTCCAAATTTCCAGCAGAAGTTATAATTAATCGTTACTGGACCATAGTCCTGACTTTATGCATAAATCTGCTTACTCTGCTCCAAAACAGATGTACTAACTCCTATTTAAAATAACCGTCGCATTATCTATTGTGTGAACTGTCTGCCTTGGTTGTAGAGTGGAAACACTTCTGCCTGTCAACTGTACTCTGTCACATCCTTAAGTCCAGTCTGCGCAAAGACATCTTCCTCAATGGCAGTCTCTAAACAGCCTCATCGACTAGAAGATTTCCGCTTTGATAGGAGCGCCTAGTTAAAATGTTTACGACCGACCTCCATATAACTGCTCCACCAGTCTCCTTATCATTGTGACAGAGCAGTAAATTTAAAAGGTCGTGGGATCGAGCATCGGGTGGTGCACCGCTTGGGGTTGGGTATGACTGGCTGATGCGGCTAATAAGCCAGAGGTGGCCATTCCAGTCTCCCTTTACTTTGCCGGCTATGCTAACTGTCTAGACTACTAGTTGCTGTGTGACTGTTGGCGGAGCTCAAGAATGAGCCCCAAGGCAGAGCGGGACGGGTGGTTTCCGTTTGCGGTCGGTGAACGTTCTTCAATGAGTAAATTTAATGTCGGTCGCAACGTACTGTCAGTCGGAGTTTACAAGAGCTGTGCTGATATCTTCTGAGTGATTGGGGTATGTATTTTAGTCTATGTAGCATATTATCTTCCAGTCATGAAACAGTTCCATTGTCCTCTGATTCTAACTGAAGGGTAATCAAAGCATCCCATGTTAAACTTGCCGCACCGGTCTTTTTGCACTGCCTTTGTGACAGGGCTGCAGAACGAGGAACAGGTGGTTCGCGTCCTTCTGAGAGTTGTACGAATAGTCTGCTTGTTTAGCAATGGATAGTGCCACTAGACTATTATTTTAAGTTTACAGCGATTGTACTCTTCTATAATTCTACTGACGCATCATGCTATTTTGTCAAAATACCACCTTGACGATCGTAGACTTTCTACACTTAGCTGGAGGCTTATTATAAAAACAGGCGATCGCGTGATCAAGCCTGTGGTTGTGCGATCGAATGTATCATCGTCACAGCCGGTGTTGCACATGATACGGCCTTCTTCTCAGCCCCATAGACTGCACGGTACACACTGCTACCCATCACCCTGACTACAGTTATCGACTGCGGGGCGTCCAGATAGTGTTGCGTTTTCATGTCGAAACACGACTCTGGCGACCTTGCGCCAGTTTGTAAGCTGCTGTGAGAAGTCAGTCTGCTCTCGGACGCACAGTCTCGGTGGTCTAGAACTTTCGCATAGGACCAAACACGTCTAAAAGTAAGGGGTCTCACAGCAGTCTAACACGGACCAAGTGTCTCCTGCTCTTCTGAATGACGGGACAGTCGACTGCTGCGTCTGTATGGGCTGCTTCGTGCCTGCCAACAGAACACCATCAGAAGTGAGTAAGGTCTCGCTCAAATATTAGAGTTCGCGATACTGTTACCAACATCCTTATGTCCTGTGGCGGCCAAGTTTAGTTTCTGCACACTGTAATCTAAAACAGTGGAATCTGACCCAGTTGTGAAACTTTCATTGGTCTCTGGAATTTAAACCCACGTTAGCACTGCGAGGTTTGAGTACACTCCGTGGCATAAGCAAGCGATCTACGAGGATCGACCCGGAGCCGCCAGTCTCATTATAGTTAGGCAGACTTCTCCACTTAGGCAGCCCACTTCTCCACAACTGGGTCAGTTGAATTATTCAGACCTGCCGAAAAGCCTATTAAAAGTGGTAGTAGATTCGAGTTTGTTTACTTATTAAATCTTGTTCGGGTATTCAGTTTAATTTGTCAATATTTGTGAATTCCTAGGGTAACCAAGCTCGCCACTTTCGTCCATATTTATACTGGATAAATCCTGATCTCAAAAGTTTCAGAATGGTGCTCTGCATCTTCCCGCTGGGTCTCTCTATTCTCCAGCACCCAATGAGAACCCCTTTGCAGCGGAAAACTGGGTTGGCCTTATCGAAACACCGGACCCTTCTGTTTCGCAAGTCGCGGTTATTCCCTCTCCGAAATTCACCGCTCCTGACATTGAAGATGGGAAATCTCAGGGACCCAGCTACTTGACAACAGCGTGTATTCCTTTCCTCCAACGCAGACATGGTCGAACGCAGTCCCCTCTAGACGAAACAGCGGAGGGACCGTCCGCTCACGTCCAACAACGCGACTTACGCGAAAACAGTAACGTTAGCGCATTTCCTTCACAACACATAAGTTATGTTTCAGAGGAAAATGTAATTTCAGAAACCAGGACAACCTCTTTACTTCGCCATCCACGCTACTTCTTTCCCTCCTCAGCAACAACCAGTATGAGCTCAGGCCAGTCTCGACGTATACCGGGGCCTCGCTTCACTGACCTGGTGGCAGACTTTAACATGGAGAGTCAACCATCTCCTGTTGATCGTGCCTCCCTACTTGTTGCGATGGAGTCCACATCGGACACCGCCATC